GCATCCTGAGCACAGGAAACCTCAAAACCTGCTGCCACAGTGGCACACTTCCTCTAACAAGGCCATACCCACTCCAACAAAGCCACACTTCCTAATAGTGCCACTCCTTATAAGATTATGGGGGTCAATTACATTCAAACTTCCACAGTATATGTGGAAAACATGAGTAAATGGGCTTGGTGCCAAGCATGATGACCTGAGTTTGATTCCTAGGACCTACATATTTAAAAAAGAGATATGACTTTGCAAGTTGTCCTCTGATCTCCACAAATACTTACATTATCCTGGCACTTACATTACACAGAAAGACATATGCATGTATAAGTACACACACACACACACAGAGAGAGAGAGAGAGAGAGAGAGAGAGAGAGAGAGAGAGAGAGAGAGAGTAATTTTTTAAATTTTAAAAAATAAAAATAGGATAGAATAATGAAGAGTACTTAACCCTGAATTATTCCCTTTATGCACACATCATAAACCATGGCCTTTGTGGGTAGTGAGTGAAAACCAGCACCCCAGAAAATAGGAGAAGAAGGTGACTAAACTTGATGTCTTATCTGTCTTCTTATATACAGAACTGGAGGAATATTCACACACAGGGTGGGAGAGCATTAAAAAACAGATGCTGAGAAATAAATGACACACCAAGTTTTCACATGCATTTTTGGAAGACAGGCACTATGAATAATTACTATTATGTAAAGTCATCCACTATGATGGGCATTATGGATGATGCAATGCCTGTCCTTGACATTGTTAGGTAATTATGAGCAGATTACTTCAAATTTTTGGAAAAAGGTCACTTTTCTAATTCTTCTTTCAAAGGTCATTATTCCTAAACCCCTAAGCATTCTCAAGAAACAGTTCTTCTTGAGTAGCATGTAGGACAATAGCTTCAGAGTTTGAAGCAGATTTGTTTAGATGATGCCATGGTTCAGTTTACAGTTGTGAATGCTTCAAATGCAGAATCATGCCTCCTTCATAATCTGACATTCTGGAATTCTCTATCTATACATTGCTTAATTAACAAAGAATAAAGTGAGCCAATTGAATAATTGCATTATTTGTGTAGGAGTTTATGTGTGTTGCTGAAGGCTATTACATTCTTCAGCCATATGTGATATATATATGGTATATGTGTGTGTGTGGGGTGTGTGTGTGTGTGTGTGTGTGTGTGTGTGTGTGTGTGTATGGTTTAAAGCACAGAACATGTAATATACTCCCAGGCAAGTATGTCCATGTTTAGCCACAGATAATTGTTCAGAAAAGAAATGTCTAGTTAACTAAGACACCAGACCTTGCTTAGTAAAGCCCCTTCACTGATTGGCTTGTCCTGCCGGACCCCTGTGGTAGCCAGCCACCATTCTACAGAGGGAGCACTGAGTTCAGCAGGAAGTTTTTGAGTGTCAAACTATGTCCTCTGAGCTCTACTGTAGGTGCCCTCACCTTCCAGAAGACCAACTCTTATTCTCCAGAACCACTTGTAATAAAAAGCAGAAGAGATCTATCAGTTCTTCCTGGTGAGTCAGTGTGTTCGCACAAACTGAAAGCAGTGAGCACAATTTTAAAGTTGCAGATGCTTACTAAAACCTTTGCCTCTGCACCTAGCTAAAAGTGGAATTATTTAATCAAGCATAAAAACATTTGCTAAATTTATATAAGTTGATGGTGTCCAACTGTGTCCCTAAAGAGAATTTGGAAAACACCCATTTTCTTTCCAACAACACTGAGCATGAAAATGTAGGTTCAACTTTCTAAGCATTAGCTAGAAGATAAAAGGAATATTTAAGAAGAACCTTGGGAAAGGGCAGGAGGAATGGGCTTCACTTTTATTGTCTTCCTTTTATCCTATTCCTAACTATTCAGAAGAAATGAATTTTCCTTCACTCTAGAAGAAAAACTAATCCTGGGTCCCTATGCCTTCCTATTTTTAATAAATCCTTTCCTGTAAAAAAGGAGCTGATATCTGGGAGCTGGGGAGATGGCTAAGTTGGTAAAGTACTTACTGCACAAGCAGAAAGCCCCGAGTTCAGATCCTCAGCCCTGAAGTAAAAGCCAAGTATGATGGTATAAGCCTGTGGTCCCAGTGTTGGAGAGGAGTTCAGAGGATCTCCAGGGCTTGCTGGCTAGGCAGCCTAGCCAAATTTATGAGTTTCACATTCAGTGAGAGAGGCTGCCTTGAGAGAATGAAAGAGGGGGTGGAGAAGAAGAAAGAAAGAAGGGGAAAAAAGCAGTGAGCAGTTAAAGAAGACGCACATTAACTTCTGGCCTCCACATGTTCATGCACACTGGCCTCTACATGTTCATGCACACTAATGCATATGCACCTGCACACGTGAGTGTACACTAATGCAAATGCACATGCACACATGAGGGCACACTAATACAAATGCATATGCACACATGAGTGCACACTAATGCATATGCAAATGAACACGTCTGCACATGAAAACCACAACACACACACAAATAACAGAGTTGATATCTGATAAACAGCCTTATAAAATAAGAGATGAATAACAGCTCCAAGGTTCTTCTGAATTGCCTTCTATATCCTTCTAGAATTTCTCTTCAATCCTCTCCTTCTTGAGATGTTGATATTATATAATGCTACTATCTCAGATTTGAAAAGGACCCCAGGATTATCAGCCTAACATCCCCTCTAATGTCTTCCCAGCAAGTGTCCATTTAATCTTGACAGGAGCACATTCTGTGATAGGGAGCTCACAGTCTCACAAGTCAGTCTAATTTACTGATACCCATCTCTGACTGCTGGAAGGTCACAAAACCCTAAGAGGCAGTCCAAAAGTCTGCCTCTTCTCCCCACTGGTATTAGGACCACTCTCGAGAGGGATCATGAAGAGAACAATCCTGGTTCCACTTATACCCGATAACCCTTGAGGAACTTGATAAGAACTCTCAAGTCTTCTTCCGGCTCAGTATTATCAGTTCACCCTGGTCTTTATGTGATAGAGCTCTGAATTCCATTAACATCCTGTCACGCTCAAGATGTCCATGTCTGTGTGCACATTCCCACTAAAGCATGAGTCAGGTGGCTATGGCTGCATTCCAGCTTTGAGTTCTTGGGTATTTGGGAAGAAAATCAAGGAAGATCTAGGGTGTCTTATTTCATTAGTTTGTCAAAGTCTACCATATTTTCATACTCGGCTAAGTCATTCATTACTCATCTAAAATGTCTGCCTACTTTGAAGAACATTTCGACTTGTGGCCATTGTCCAAGCAGGCAACTTCCTCAGCTGAACACAGTACAATAGACCTGAAGAGCTTGAAGGATAAGAGCTTCCATGTCACTCATTATGAGTACCTTTTCCTCATGAGTTAAAACCAATTTGACATGTGTGTGTATTTGTATAAGCACCCAAGCTATACATACATGTGTGCAGGTCAGAGGGCAGCCTAAGGTATCATTCCTTAGGAGCTGTTCACTTGTTTCTTAAGACAGAGTCTCTGATTAGCCTTGAGCTTGCTGATTTGGGTAGGCTTGCTATCTAGAAAGCCCAAGGAGTCTGCCTGCTTCTGCCTCCTCAGAGAAAGGATTGCAAGCATGCATCACCATGCCCAGCATTTTTATATGTGTTCTATGGATTGAACTTGGTTCCTTGTGTTTTTGTGGCAAGCATACTACCCACTGAGCAATCTCCCCAGTTTCCTTTCTATCAGATTTCTCTGCACTTCCACTTAAGCCATCCCTGGCTCTCTCTTTTGATAATGACCAAAGTTGCTGAGGTTAAAGATTGTGTGGTCTGTAGATAGGACCTGGTACCTTAGAGGAGGAGAAAACACTGTATTGAATTCCCATTTTGTTCTTAAAACTGTATCATGGTGAGCAGCACTAGAACCAGGAGGTATCCAAATTCTTGGGACTTTTCTTCCCTTTCCAGGGTTCCCCACATTCCTTTCTCTTCCTTTGGTATTTCCTCCTTCATCAAGACTTGGCATCACAATGTCCAAGTTCTGCCTTTAAAATGACAGTATTTTAGAAATAATGAGGCTTAGCTCTTCGCCATGAATCATCCATCCAGCTCTGATCTCTAACTTCTTATTACTTGTATAACATCATGGCATAGTTTTCCTAAACAATCACCTTCACTGTGTTTGTTCTGCCTCAAACCTTAACAGACTCAAGTCAGATATTCAAATTCTTCTATACAGAGTATGTGGAATCCCTCATGTCCCACCTTCCTCACCTACCCAGTGATGCAGGATGATCACTGGGAGTCTGAGGCCATCCTGGCCTACATAATGAGTTCTTAGGCTATAGTAGGCTTCAAAGAAAGACCCTGTCTTAAAGAATTAGTAAATCCACTTGAACTTTATGTTTTATTTGCTTCTATCAAAAATTGTTTCTACATACAAACTTCCAATATCAAATTTTCCCACTATGAAAAATTCTTAGAGTACAGGCTACTTGACAGAATAATGTCACCTTTACCTTATTGAAGGCCACTTTTTCAGATTTGAGAAAAATTAAGACAAACTGGAAGTACTTCCTACTAATGAATTAAATCTAGTATCAAAAATAGACATACTATCAGGAATTTCATCCAAAGAGCCATGGGAAACCAAGCTTGGTGGTAAGTGTCTGTAATCCCAACACTTGAGAGGTAGAGGAAGGGTCAGAAATTCAAGGCCATCCTTGGCTAAATGGAGAAGTAGAGGTCATACTGGCCTACATGAAACCCTGTCTTACAAAAAAAGGCAGAGATTAGCATGGGGATTTATTAATTAATGGAAAAGCATTTCTTTTCTATTTTTTTCAAGACAGGGTTTCTCTGTGTAACAGCCCTATCTGTTCTGGAACTCACAAAGATCAGCCTGCCTCTGCCTCCAAAGTGCTGGGATTAAAGGCAAGCACCGCCACCACCCCAGTGGATAAACATCTCTTATTAGCATCAGATTTAATATTTCCACTGGACAGCATCAGAGTGGCTTTGTGAAGGTGGTATTTCCAGAACATATGCACATTTGTCTTTTAGGCTTTTTATGATGGTCGCAAGGACACTTCTTCTGGCTTTGTTCATTTTAAGGAATCATTGTTTGGGGTAAGTTTTTGAAATTTTCATTTGCAGCTTTGGAAAAAACATATGCTAATGTGACTATAATTTCTACACATATTTGTGCTTTGGAAAAGGACAAATATCTACACTGTATCCTGCCCTGGTAGAGGCACAGGCAAGAGCAATGAAGAGCTTTCTCAGGAAATAGTGATTTTAGCTTTCCTCCATCTAAGGAGAGTTTTGGGGGGAATTGTGACTTCGATATTTTGGGGAAAAGTTTTTATTTCAACTGACAAAAAACAATTGACCATAATACCACACACTGCTAAGGAGTACACTGGTGTTTGGATATAAGTATGTCTTATGCAGTGATCCAGTGCAATGATCCAGTTTGTCTAATTAGTATACCATTGCAAGTACTTAGAATGTCTTTGTAATAAAAACATTCAAACTGCAATAACATGTTAGAATGTGTGTGTTCTTGTTTATTATAGTGGCATACCAGGTGATGCCAGAACTGGCCAAGAAGGCTATATCCTATTCTGTGTTGACTACTACTGGATTCTCTCTCCCCTCCCTCCGTTCCCTCTCTCCTTTTTCCTTCTGTTTTTCCTTCATCTTTTACTGATGACCAAAGAGGAAAAATCTGACAAGCCAGATCCAGAAAGAATATAAAACCTGAATGAACCTTGAACAGGGAGTCAGTAAACAAAAGTACATTCCCCCTCCTTATCACAGAAGCAGGACTGGTTTCACATCAATGTTTTCCCCAGGAGCCAGGCACCTCTTGTGCAATTCAAGTCACAAAATAAAGGCTAAGTCTCTTCTTTGTGAAATGCCCTGTGATGTGCAGCCTCAGTGATGGCAGAGAGAGGGAATGTCAGCCCTTCCCCCAGGAGACTCGCCTTGTTTATGGGAGGAAGATAAGATGCGTATACAAGGAACAACAATGCAAAGGGAGACATTAATATTTATAACAATGATACAAACAAAGTGCTTAGAGGGAGCTTGGAGGAAATAAATGTGTCCCAGCTAGGGATACGGCACAGAAATTTATGTGGGGAAGTCATCTCTGGGCTAATCACAAACGATAATCAGAAATTCTGTAGGTGTCCCTGGGAAGAATAGGCACTCTAAAATGAATTGGGGAAACAGAAAAGGATGAGATGTGATAGCCAGAAGCAAACAGGCCTCTTCTGTAGTGTAGGGCTCCTACTTTGCTTTTGTTTGGGGCAATGAAAACTGAAGACATAAAAATGCTATAAAGAAACTTGCTAATTAAAAAACTATGTAGCTTTAAAAGAGAAGGAACATTTGAGCAATGGAAAGAACACTTTCATTCACATTCTAAGACATAGAAAAGGCCTGGTGCCAGGCCAGTCACTGCTCTATATCAAGCAAACATGAGGTGATTCCATTATCACACCCGGTCTGCTGGGGTGGAATGCCTGTCTGGTAGGGCATGAACAGAGGCAGAAGCTGATAGCCAGAGAGCAAAACTTGCAGGAATTTCCAATAACTTCTAGAAACTCAATATCTAGGGGGGAAATGTGTATCCTGTCTGCTCACCAGGCACTGCATGTATGTGTGCACACAGAAGTTCCCACAGAGCTGCATATACAGTCAAAGCAATCATGTACCTGCCTGGAGAATCATAAAATTTGTAAGGAAGAATGGTGGTTTATCTTTCCCAAGAAGTCAAGGACAAGTTGTGGTAGTGCCTACTTTGGAGTCCAGCTAGCAGCTTTTGAACAAACTCCAGCAAAAGACGGTCTGAGTACCTGTAGACAAGTGGACTCATCTTACCCACTTTGGTTTATGTACTATATAAGGAAGGTGGAGATTATCTTATCATGAGAATGTGGAGGCTTGGATGAAATAAGCTACCTGTAGCACACAATATAAGAACTACATCTCTTTCATCATTCTGAATTCTAATTTGAACTGCCAAGAGGATCCCAAGCATTTTATGGATTTAAACACATGCTTATGCATGGACTGTCTTGCTGTTTTATTCATATTATCTAAATTTCTACAATAACTCAGAAACTCTGTGTGGAAAAGCCCATTGCAGCAGTGGTTTGGGAGAACTCACTCAGCCACACTGATACCTACTGGCAAGCTGAAGTGTCCTTCAGTCCTTCAGTGTTTCAGACCTGGAGATACTTAAATAACAAGACCATTGTTTTGGGATGTGAATAAAGCCCACACATTCAAATGAATACAACAGTGTATGACAGATGAGAACTTCAACCATTCTAAACTTATATAGATGCAAGATACCGCCCCAGCAAAGATGTATTCCAACGACCCAAAAGCATTGATTGTGGTGTAGGATATAAATACAGCATCCTCCCTCTCACTGCTTTGTAGTTTCGTTGGTACTCAATAATTCTAATAGACATTTTCTGGGCAACAGAGTTTCTCAGTAATTACTCTGTTGAGGATCTGGAAAAGAAAACAATAATTAAATACCTTTACTTATCCTACTTTATCCCGGACTCTGTAACTGAACTTAAGCATGGATTGAAGATAAACATACCTTGAGATAACTTAATTTAGAAAAGGACTGCATATCCTTGGCCTTGAAACAAACTCTCAGACTGCAATAGACATTAAACTTACTTATGAATAGTTTTCTGGATATTTATAATTATTTTTTCTTTCAGTCAAGATGCTCTCCTCATCTTGTTCCAGTCTGCAGGTCCAGGGTGGACTCTGTTGACTCCCAGGTGCTTCCCTATGCTTCCTTACTGGAGAGGGTTTGTTACCTGATCTGTATAAAAGCCTATTCCCAGCAAAGAAAGCTCACCTCTAAATGAGGGAGGTGGTGAAGTTGGTAAAGTACTAACTGCACAGACATGAGGGCCTGTGGTCAATCCACAGAACCCACTCCAAAAACAAACAAACAAACAGCAAACAACAAACAAAAACCCTCAGGGGAATGGACAAATGGTTCAGCAGTAAAGACACCTCCTACTCTAGCATAGTATCCAGGTTTGGTTCCTAGAACCCACATGATGGCTCACAACCATCTGTAACTCCAGTCTCCCTCTTCTGGCCTCTTTGGGTACTGCATGCATGTGGTGTGCATACATATAAGCAGAAAAACACTCATACGGAAAATAAAAAATAAATCTTTTGAAAAGTGGCACATAATGTCAGTGCTAGAGAAGCAGAAATAGGTGGAACACTGGATCCCAGTGGCTGGCTGGCCTAATCAAATCAGCAGAGCTTGAGGTATGATGGCCAAAATTGACCTCTGACCTCCACGCAAACCTTCCACATACATGCATGCTCCCTCCACCCTACCCAGGCTATCCAAATAGAGAAGGTCCTTTGTTTGTCTTTTTCACCTCAATTACACATTTTATTCATTTTAGTCATGAGCATCAAACCAAGAATTTCAAAGATTTTTATAAAACATATCTATTGACTGTCATCAAATGTTTTCTTGGCTCTTTATCAAGTTCAGCTAACTTCAAATGGGTTTTGTTGAGGTTATCCTTGGCTGTGATTTGAATGGCTTAATTGATTTTTGAGCTATTTTCATTTTCTCAGTGTCCTTTACAGAATTCTCTTTAGGTCAGAACAAAGATTGTATGAAAGTCTTGTCTGTCTGAAGAGATATTTCTTGTGAAATAAATGAAGTATCATTCTTTAGTCTGAAAATGGCAAAGTTTACATTTGAGTTTTATTAGGACGTTGTACAGATAGCACAATAGAGTTGAAAAAGGAGGAAGGGTGTAGGTCTTTGGAACTTGAAGGATTCTGAATATTGAAACACTCTGCAATTTATATGGGCTTCTTACCAGCATTTAGGAGACATAAACACTAAGCCTTTCCCTCCCCAGCAATTGCAGCCCAAGAAAATCTTCCCTTAAGAAGCTGATGGCTCCATTCTGTAAAGACTGTATCTCCTAAACCCCAAAGCACTAGTGCATAAGAATTCTTCTCCGATGTTTAGATTGGAGAGTTCACAGTGCTATGTATGCATTGTGTGTGATGGAAATGCTCTGCTGTCCCCAAGGTAGCTTGCCTACATCCTGGCTCTTCATCACACCTCTAAAGCAGAATTTGACTACATAGTAAAAGAACATATTTGGGGCCTTTCAGTTTACTTGGGATTTAAACATGGGTGTGATACAATGACTTGCCAAAATCAGAGATGTGTTTTGCCTTCTAAAGCCCTTTCAAGTCCTTGTCACAGGGCCAGAAGCTAGTGCCTAAAAAGGAAGTGTGCACAGGCAGAGCAAACACCTCCTCAGAGCTCAGGCACTGTCCCTTTCGGCAGCAATTGTATAAATGTGCTTCTCGGGCATTTCAGTGTGGTGGCAGACAGCGCATGTAAAGCACATTGTTGTGCTGTCTGTCTGTCTCCCTCTAGGTGGGCTGCTGGTGTGCTGTCTGTCTGTCTCCCTCTAGGTGGGCTGCTGGTGTGCTGTCTGTCTGTCTC